TTTTTTTTTTTTTTTTTTTTTTTTTGAGGTCTAGTAGATCCCGCAGGTGCCGTTGTAAGGTCCCACAGTGTCAGGGGCGCCAGTGCTGATGCGGTGTATCAGATTTTGCTGCTGTCGGACTTTTCTTGAGATTCCATCGCCATAATACAACTCTTTGCCTGAAATATTTCTCATTACTTCCGATTGCGATGGTGATTTGATGCTGAACACCCCGGCACAATACCGCGGTACCAAAATTTTTCCCGCACGTAAAATTTTCACGCCGATGAACTGTTATTTAAGTATTTTGGAAGTTTTTCTTAGAGATCCAAACAGTGAATATCCCTGGCTAGGAGATTGGAAGAGGACGGAGAGCTTGAAATCGTCTGCGTGTTAGCATATGCAGTTTGTTTGGCGTTGCTGCTGCTGCTGCTGGCCTAGCATCGTGGAGAGGAACACAATCGAATTTTAACAGTGTAATGAAAAATGTTTGATTTTGCACGTAGGCAAGCCTATGAAATGAAAAGTCTTATTTAGATTTCGCACGTAGGAGACAAGCCTGTATTTTACTGTGATTTGCGTAGCAAATAACGCAAAACTCTTTCAGTAATATCCTGAGGGTGTAATCAAGCTATGATGGTGGATTTGGCCTTTGTGCTTGTGCTACTTTTGAATGCGGTGATAATCGATGGGAAAGTGGATAAACACGTGGATAAGCATGATGGGCATGTACATGAATTCACGGAACCGGCAGCGGCACATGAACATAAGGCATATCACGACCATGAAGATGTATTCGGCGCCAAAATGTGTAAGTTTATATCTTAGGCAAAGTTAAAATTTGGCGAAATTCAAATTTTCTTTGTATTTTCTCTCTGTGAGAGACAGAGACAGTCAGTAATAGCCCAACTGATAACATCAATCATTTGATGGCTCCATCTTTCGAGAGTTGTTTACAAGCAAGCTGATGGCGGGGTTTGACTCCTCCCTGACATAGATCGAAGCCATCTCATACTAATGAGGTCCAGTTGTATACAATTTGATACGTTGAGATCCCTATTCGAAGATTCACTTTCCGTCTTATTTACCCTTTCGTTTAAGTTTTTTTTATCAGCTTCTCAGCTGCTTGATTTTTACTGTGTTACTTGACATTTACCTAACATGTCAGTACCAATTTACCATCGAAAAAATGAAAAAATCGTAAAGGGCTCAATTGTTCCAACAGTGGAGTCGTACCCTGAATCTCCAGCAGGACAATAGTGCCATTTTCCACCGCGCCATGCGCTATGTTTACAGCTAAGGGATGAAACACAAAACTGTTCTCCGACTAATATGTGGCACTCTTTTTATACGTGAGCGTCTCATCGACAGCACTTTTTTTGCGCTATTATTTCAGACAAAACACTTTTCAAAGTGAAACATCGCGAACAACTAAGTGCAATAAAACACATGATGAAAATGGATGAACAGAAACGTGAGAAGCTCGTACTGGAGTTGATCCTCAGTATCGTCAAGGTTCATATTAACATAATGGTTTTTTCAAGTTTTCACAGAAAACTAAGTTTTATGTGAAATGAGAAGGGGGGGGGG